GGCATTGGGCGGCTCTGGAGCAGATTCTTTGTTATCTAAAGGGATCTCCAGGACGGGGTCTAGTATATAAGAATAATGAACACACTAACATTGAGTGTTTCACAGATGCAGATTGGGCAGGGTCAAAAGCCGATAGGAGATCCACGACAGGATATTGCGTTTTTGTTGGTGAAAACTTGATTTCGTGGAAGAGTAAGAAACAAAATGTCGTATCTCGATCTAGTGCGGAAGCAGAATACAGAGCTATGACACAATCTGTGTGTGAGGTTGTATGGGTACATCAACTATTAAGTGAAGTTGGCTTCCAAACTACATTGCCAGCAAAGTTATGGTGTGATAATTAAGCTGCTTTTCATATCTCCTCTAATCCTGTATTTCACGAAAGGACTAAGCACATTGAAATAGATTGTCACTTTGTTCGTGAAAAGATTCAACGAAAGCTCATCTCTACAGGTCATGTTAGAACTGGAGATCAATTGGGAGACATTTTCACAAAAGCTTTGAATGGAGCTCGAGTTGAATATATCTGTAACAAGTTGGGCNTTTTTCTTCATATGTTTATAACAGTCCCGAGGAAGAAGATGATACTTTGGTCTACACTGTCACACATCCAGTTAGTTCACCAACACCTCTTCCTCAGTCACCCGTTTCCCTCGATCGACCATCCGAGCAGCCACCTGTTCTTCGTGTGTATACCAGGCGACAACAAACCTCAGAACCCGATCCTTACCTACTTCTGCTTCGTCGGTAGATCCAACCTCCTGTGTTTCAGATCCTAGTTTGGATCTTCCTATTGCCATTCGCAAAGGTACACGGCAATATACTTATCCTATTTCTTCTTTTGTGTCTTATGACCATTTGTCTACTTCTAGCTCGTTTATTGCATCATTAGATTCTGCTAGGATACCTAAAACTGTTCGTGAAGCATTNCATTCGCTTTTAGGCTTTTAAAGGTAGTTACATCTCTTCGTAAACATGCATAAGCTGCTGCATTGTTAACTTTGTGGGCGACAAAATTCTGAATTTTCCCAACGTTTTATTGATGAAATAAAATCAAAATCAAAAGTGGTGATGTGGTTGAAGTGCAAAGGGAAATACTCTGTTTTTTTAGTGTGGCTAGCTAGAAACTGACCTGTTGAGTTAAATGAGCGATATAAGAAATCAAATCTAGTTTTTATTTCTGAACATTATATCACAAAATTAGCATATCGGTTTACACAGTTGAGTTCATGAGATTTGCAACAACTTTCTTAAATGGTAGATGCAATGGTACTTGAGCTTCTAGGAAAAAACAATAGTCAACACGTCTAATTCCTTGGATTTTCTAAAACGTTACACAGCTAATTGATAAGGCTATAACATGCTATTTCTTCCCCCCGTACTCATCTACCTTAATTTTCTGTAAATAATGTCGTAGCTTGATTTCTTCACAAACATTGAGGATGAACAATTTTGGACTGGATTTCAAGAGGTTGGTTGGTGCAGCAATAGAAACTCAAGACTCTTTTGTGAAGAAGAAGATGGTAGGATAGAAAGATGCGGATGTAAATATGGTATTTTAGATAATAAGCAGACCAAAAAGGACTAAAATTGTTTGAGTATATAAGTTTACCTGCAAGTTCAGCTACTCAGTACACTTCTATGTGAGGATAAGAAGGAATGAGGGAGAAGAAGCTGAGATATAGGAGAAAGAAACAAGGAGGAAACAGAGATGTAGTCTAAACCTTAGAAGAAGATGAGCTAACTGCTTATTTCTACGTATTAACCCCAAGGTTTTTCTTCACGTAGGGTTGCAGTGGTGCAGGTATCTAATCTGAGTTTTCAATGTGTAGAATTCTTCTTGATTTATTTTATTTTAGTGCACTTCTTGTTTTTGATGAATTTTGAAGTCAAAAGAAGAAAACCTACCTTAATCATTGTGTATGTGTACAACGGTTTTATGCAGCCCCAAAGGGGGTGATCTAGTGGTCGAAGAACAGGAGTAACAGTGTTGGGAACTAAAAGATTTCTCGCCTCAGAGGAGGCGACACTAGGTTATTTCTTCCTATTTGCCTAAGCTTGGGAAAAAAGAGAGAGTTACTTGTTGCATTCCTATTTGAGTCTTGTAATTACTTTGGTAATAATGAAAGTGAAGGTTTTATGCTTGTAATGACATTTACTGCTTGTCAGACTGTACATGAAGGGCGCATCTACCAGTTAAAACTTTTCTGCGGAAAGGAGTATCCAGATCACCCACCTAGTGTAAAGTTCCAAACAAGGATAAACATGAGTTGTATAAACCAAGAAACTGGTGTGGTATGTACTGCTTCCTAATTAACTTTTGTAGACTTGACAGTTAAAAATGTAAGCTAGGTTGAGCCAAGTCTCTTCCCCCTGCTAGCAGATTGGAAGTGCGAATACACAATGGAAGATATATTAATGCAGTTGAAAAAGGAAATGATATCTCTTCAAAATCGAAAACTAGTTCAGCCTGCTGAAGGTGAGCTGTCAATGATTTAACTTTTAAATTAAGTTTTAACTGTTTTTATTCTGAATCAAAAAATTTCTTTGGTGCTGATGCTGCAGCAAAATAAGAAGTTTTGAATTACTTTTGCCATTTCTGCACTCCTTATCTCCTCTTCTTTCATTCATGATCAAAGAGCGTGTAGCAATTCGAAAAGAGGATACATTCCCAAGATGAGCATAGCCCATAGCCCTATGTACGAACACATTTACAGCTGCACCCACTCATGAAGACACACACGCACACACATTTGTTTATTTATTTATTCATTTATCTTCTCCTTAGATCATTTGCAAACTTAAATGTCGATGTTGATTTTCTCAACATGAGCAACTTCTTATGAATTTTTTGATCAAGATAGCTTGTTGAAAACTGTTAGAGATCTCCGTCCGAGTGAATAATGCATTTCTTTTGGCAGGCAATGAAGAGAATCGGGTGGATCAAAAAGGTTTGGTTCTGAAATGTTGTATTTTGTAACTGGAGATTGGAGAAAGAACATTGTAGATGAAAATGTATATAGCCTTATTGCTCAGATAGTAGCAACTGTTGTCTTAATATCTGTATATGTAAATGTGTACGATTTTATCCGAGAAAGATGCCTGCTTATTCCTTTCTCAACTATGGGTATGGGAGGGATAGCTGTTAATCTTCAAACTCTACTGAATAATGCAAACCTGTTTTATGACTTGTGATATTCTAAACTATACCAGACTACCAGTGATAAAATCCAGTAGTCAGTGCAGAGAGGACAACAGATAAGGGCAGATTTTCCTCAATATATATATATATATATATATGTTAAAAGACCAAAATAGTCATCAAAAGTTTGAATGACTATTCTACCCTTCAAACAAGCATTATTTTAAAAAATATTTTTGTGCAAAAATGTAAATATTTATTCTTCAAAGATAACAAAAGAAAAAGTTTAATGCTAATGAAAAAATCAAAGGAAATAGAAAGGTGGGAGCCGTTCAAATGGCCATAGTAAATGAAAAAACAACTCTGGGACTTCCTGCAGTGCATCTTTTTTCACTCATAATTGCTTTCATCTTCCATTGCGTCAAATATACCAATGTACTATCAGAAAAGGTTTATATATGCTCTTCGTTATACATTAAGTTTAAATATACCCCTGCCGTTATATTATTAGTTCGAATATACCATTTTTTCGTTATGTTTATCCAAAGCGGACATTCCAATCCTACATGGCACTGACATTTGATGAAGTGGATGCCACATGGCTTGCCACCCCCATTTTACCTTTTCCTTCTATTTTTTTACGCTATTAAAATTTTCTTCCTCTCCACCACTATTGCCACTGTTACCGCTACCATGAAAAATATTGTACTTCAAATTCTAGTCTTTTATATATGGATTAGGGGCGTTGAGGTGGCATGTCATGTGACATCTACCTCATCAAATATCACTGTCACGTAGGATTAGATGTCCACCTTGGACAAACTTAACAGAACAGGGTATATTTGAACCAATAGTATTACGACAAGAATATATTTGGACCCAAAGTATAACGAAGGTTATATTTAAACCTTTTCTCATAGTACAAAAGATATATTTGGCCTTTTATTGTATTGAAAATAACCTTTGAAATGTACTTCCTTTTCAATTTCCAATATTTAGGCCTCCTTTATTTTTTAAGATTAAGACGTCTGAATCTGAATGCACATCTGAATATCAAGATGTGCATTAAGATTAAGATATCTGAATCTGAATGCACATCAGAATATTAAGATGTGTATCACGATCTAAATACTAAATGATTAAGACTGTTTGTTTTTTAACATCTGAATGTATAAAAATTATCTTTATTTGAAAATTAATAAACACAGAATTCAAGAAAATACTAATCAATCTAATATTTTATCAATATAATATATATTTTAAAATATGATAGTTAGTAGTGGTGATGACTAATGGTGGTGCTTGTGAATGCCGACTAGAGGCGGTGGTTGGGGGTGTTTTTGGTTGATGGTGGTGGTTCAGGGTAGTAGCCAGTGGTTATTGGTAGTAGTGATAACGATTATGGTTGAGGTTGGTGGTGGTGGGTAGTTATATTAATAATGGTGGGTAGTGGTGGTGGTTGTGTTTGTGATTGAGGAAGATGATGGTAGTTTATTATGGTGGACAGTGTCGGCTATGGTTGTTGATGGTAATGTGGTGGTTAGTTGTAGTAGTAGAGGTAAATGGGTTTGTGGATGTGGTTGACAATGATGACGATGAGAGTAGTGGGGATGGTGGGTGGTGGTTGTCGATAATGGTGGCAACTACGATTGAGTATGGTGGTGATGGATGACATGGTGATAGTTGATAATGGTAGGCGGCCGCGACAATTAATAATGAATGTGGATGATAGCATCTTAATGAAATTAAGTTTTTGTTATAGATCTTTATCATACAGACTTATCCAAACCCATTAAGTGATTGTGAAATAAAAAAATACTTAATGATTAAGATCTGAATAATTAAGATTCAGACTTTAAAAATAAACGCATTTAATATCTGAGATTCGAATGATCAAGATTCATACCTCCATGCAAACAAACAAGGCCTTAGTGCATATTCTTGTATGTCAGCCTTCTCTCATTCTTTATATATATATGGTGAATGATGTATTAATATTACTTTTTTACAATGATATAAAGAGTTGATGTCAAAATAATAAAACAAAAATTGAAAATCAAACAACAAAAGCTCCTTCTATGGCATTGGCAACTGCTTGATAATTTAACATTAGAATGAAGAGAAAGTCAACAGTACATCAAAGGAAACACGATAAGTTTGAGCATATCAAAAAGGTAATGGGCGTTAAATTTTTGGGATATGCATTTAATCATTTCTCAAAGTTTAAAACTGATTTATTCTTGTGTAAACTGAATTTCTCTATTTATGAAATATTTTCATATGATTCTTAATTTTGATTGCTTAAATAGTGCCATCTTTGTTCATTTTCTTTTGTGGTAAATTTTTCTAGAAGCCTCCTTCTATGTTAACTTTTAATGTTTTATTTACTCTTTCTTGTCAAGTTAGTTTTTTATTGAAAGGAAAAATCTTTCTATCTCCTAAGGAGTAAAAAAATAAAATTCTCAACAGGCTCATAAGAACCACACGTAGTTAATTAATTAGAAATTATGTCAAAAATTGACCTTTTATGATATGAGTGGATTGAAGTGTCATGTATATCTAGTTAAATCTCCTCTCATTTCTTATTGCAAATTAATTTTTGTGAAAGGTCAATAATTAGTAAATCAAATTCTCTACAAAGTCATCAGATTTTTCCTTCATTTGATTATGTCGTTATTCAATATCTGTGCATTCCAGATTTATTGTTTCTCAATAAGAATTTCCTTTAATGGTTTATTCTTTTTAATATTCACTTCTCTCTTCTTTCTAGATGATTATTTTTCAAAATTACGATTGAAAAGATGAGGCTTCAACAGTAAAGATGATGAAATTAGATAATTTACTGATGACAATATAGATTTTATGTTACTTTAAGAATCACATATGATACTTTTCTATGGTACTTTTCTTTTATTTCTTTTTCATGTAAAATATATGTACTCTTTTATTTTCTCCCATAAGTTTTTGCTACTACAACCACTCTTCTTTTCCCTCATAATTTTTTTTTCCATTCTCCTAATTAATTCTTCTTTAATTTATGCAATTCTTGCTTTCTAGCAATTTCAGTAAGATCTCTTTGCAACGGCAATATTTATCGACTGAATAAGTTTATCATTCATTTGTTTGAGCTTGCATTTATTCCCTACAAAATTCATCTAACTCATCATTTATTCTAATATTATTTATAATATTTAAAAATATTTATTAATTAGCATGGGATACACGTGTAATGCACGTGTCCATATANTTGGTTTTCCTGTATTTTGTAATTCCGTGTGGGGGTTAAAAAGAATTCAAAGTAAACACATATAAAAATTTCACCATTCTTCATAATTTTCTCTAATATGGCGAAGAAATGGATTAACTTTTTATCGATTTGAATTTTTCCATGCAAGGAAGTTGAATCTTTTCTGGGCTTCCCTTTTCTGGTTAGGGTTTCGATGGCCGGCTAGCAACATATGCCTATTAATTATTTGGCTCGATTGTTCAAATTAAAATTGTCAATCAATAAATTTTGAAGTTGTTTGGCTCTCCACCATTGACAACCATTAAAAAAGCTTTCAAGCTTTGATTTCGAATTCGAATTTTTTCAACAAGTATTATTTGTTTGGATTGGGCGTTATTGTAAACGATTGGGAATATTCTATGAGAGTTTATATCTCGATTTTGAGGTTAATTGGTGAAGAGTAGATTTGATTTGGCTAGAATTTGAGATTGAAATTCGAAGAGGAAGCAGCAGAATACACCACATACAAATTATATACAAATCATATACAAAATACATACAAAAATATATTGTATAAAATTTATATGAAAATTATATTTAAGTTGTATAATGTTGTAGTTGTATTTAATTGGGTAATAATGATATATGAAAGGTATAAATAAGTTGTATACTGTATAATTAGTTGTATGAAATATATTTTTAGTACGTATATTGTTGTAGATACATCAAATTTTGTATTAAGTTTGTATGAAATTTATTTTTAATTTATATTTTGATGTACCATACATTATTCTTTTCTTAAAATAGGTAATTATGGCAAAGAGAGAAGAGTTGCGCTAATTATGGCATAAAATAGGTAACGCACAACTCGAAGGAGTCTTATTTAGATGGAAGGACAATTTGGACTTTGTTCCCTTCAGTTAGGCCCTTTTCCAAGCAAAGAATTCCTTAATTAAGACACTAATAATAGATTGTAAATAAATTGTAAGAAAAACTTGTTTAGGCAGTTAATATATAAAATTTGGATAATTTTAACAAATAAATATCAAATATTGTATAGGAAGGAAAAAATCGGTAATTTAGTTGAAATCGTTCAGTGGTAAGCCCCACTTCTTGTTCGTGGTTGCCTATGACAAGATTCTTTTGCTGTTGGTAGGATATGAGTTTAGCATTTTATTTTGGTCTATGAAAGTACAAGAAGAGGGGAGGGGTTGAATTGTTGATTTTTCTTTTCTAAGTTATAAGTAGTTGACTAGTTTACTAGTTAGTCGATTAGAGATAAGAACAAAAAAGTAATAATGCAGAAATAAAGTGCAGGAATTAAAGAAACCAGAATTTTTATACTGGTTCGGATTCAATATGAATTCTACGTCCAGTCCCCTTGGGTTGCAAGGATCTCTTTCAGTATTTGAAATTTCTTGATTACAAGATGGTTGATGTAGCGTTACACCAACAACTCACTATGTCACTTCTCTCTTCTTGATACAATACCTCACCAGTGTTTATCTCCTTTTCTTCTCTTACTAATTTCACAGCAGATCTAAAGAGAACTACAATCCTTGTTTGGAGTAGAACAAAAAGAGTGATAATGGTTCGTTCAAAGTATATATGCTTCAAGCCTGGAACAGATATATATATACTTTGTGAGGTCCTCTTGACTCTTGATTAACATGAATCTTAAGAGATTACAAACCCAAGGGAGTTGATCCTTGAAATGAATCATAAATTGATTCTTTCCAAGAATAAGGTCAAG